ATTTTCCTCACGCCTTCTCCATGTTGATGATATTGTTGAATATTCTCCTTTTTTTTCTTTAAAATCTGACATGTAGTAATTTTGCAGGGTGAGCTTGCTCTTGCCTTCGGTGAGTTGTTGAGAAAATTGTGGTCATCAGGACGAACGACAATTGCACCACGTGCTTTCAAGGGAAAACTTTCTCGATTTGCTCCCCAGTTTAGTGGCTATAATCAACATGATTCTCAAGTTAGTACTATTTTTTTTCTGAATGTCTTCTGTTTAAGGCTTTTCAATATAATAGTATGCTATTGTCTAATGTTGAATGTGCAATCTTGTTTCTTTTTAAAGCAAAAAGTCACTGATCTTGAAAAGCCACCAAGAGTGATTGTCTAGGGTATTTATAACAAGCTACATTTTATTGTATTTTTCTGAATGGTGATTTCTTTTTTCAGGAACTTCTTGCTTTCTTACTTGATGGACTACATGAAGATTTGAATCGTGTCAAGAATAAGCCATACATTGAAACAAAAGATTCAGATGGTCGTCCAGATGACGAAGTTGCAATTGAGTGTTGGAAAAATCACAGAGCCCGAAATGATTCATTGATTGTTGATGTTTGCCAAGTAAGAATTCTTTTTATCATACAATGTGTGCATATTGTGACTGCTAGACCTTAAATGTCCGCTCTTTTTCTCTCTTCAGTAATCCTATGTTTATTATGCTAATACATTTCAAACATTCTCAACTTTGGGAGTGTTTCAATTTGATTCTTTTGACCAATTTTGATCCATTTATATCGAAATGGACTTGCTCTTTTGTATTTAGCTGTCTTTTTTTTGTTTCAAGAGTAATTTTTGCTTCTATGTGTTGTTGGATGTTCCCTTTTTGTCATACAAGGAATCTCTTTCTTAATGTAGGAATTTTGGTTAAATGTACAAGGTTTTTCTTTTTGTTATTGACTCACATTCTGGTTTAACTAATGTCCAGGGTCAATATAAATCAACATTGGTATGTCCAGTTTGTAGCAAGGTTTCAATTACATTTGATCCCTTTATGTACTTATCATTGCCACTACCTTCAACTGTCACCCGGCCAATGACGGTGACTGTGCTTTATGGTGATGGGCGTGGTCTTCCAAGGCCATACACTGTAACCATGATAAAAGATCAATGCTGTAAGAATCTTATTGAGGCATTGGCTACCGCATGCTGCTTGAGGAGTGATGAAACCCTTCTGCTTGCTGAGGTAATATGGAGTTCACTGACAGTTCCTTTTGTTTTTTCTATAGCATCAAACCTTTTTGTTAGCTCGTAATGATTTGTTGGTTCATTTCACCATTCCCTCTGGTTTAACTTTTTGAGCTACAGATGTAGCCTATTATGTTATCAAATTTATGGTCTCATGAGGCGTTGGAAACTTCTCATCCCCATTCCCCAATTAACTACATGCACTATAGATTGAGGCTCCATGCATATGTTTCTCTGTCGACCACATGCAATATATTATATAGGGACTGCAAGTTGAAGGGGTGTTAACTTGATATATATTATCGTGGCACCTAACAACTTAAGTTTTTGGTAAAATATTAGTCTAACACTTCCATTTCAGGTATATGAACATCGAATTTATCGATATCTGGACAACCTTTCTGAACCATTGTCTTCAATTAAGAATGATGATCGGATTGTGGCCTATCGGTATTCTAAAGAAAAAGTAGCTTCCAGTACCAGACTTGAAATAATTCATCGACGGCAGGAAAAGTGAGTCTGCTTCCTTTATCTCTACCAGTTGAGTTTGCATGTTGGTAAACTTACAAATGTGAACTCTGTTTTGGCCCTGTACTTCTGAGGTTTAATTTATACGAGCAATGAATGCCAATTTCATTGAAAAATCTAAGGCCCATGGAATTGTTTTATATTTGTAAACCCTGTTAGATAGGTCATTAAGTATAATTGCTTAATCACCTAGGTTCTGCGTGTATCCATTGGATGGGCTCTTTTTCATTATTGTTTCCTTTTTGGCTAAATTATTAACAAAAGTCATTGTCAATTTGCAGATGTGCATTAGATCCTCTGAAGGGTCAGAGAAAGCTTTTTGGAACACCTTTGGTTGCCTATCTAGGAGAAGACCAAATACGTGGTGTTGATGTTGATAGAGCAGTTTCTAGAATTCTGTCACCTTTGAAGAGAGTAGTTAAGCTTCATAGCACGAAAGAAAATGGATTAGTTTCAGAAGCCATTGCTGAACCATCAAACAACCACTTTTTGAGGCCCACGGAGAACATAGAACTAGGGGAAACATCAATTGGTGAGTTATCCTTCCAGCTATTTTTAGCTGATGAGAGGGGTATGACCTGCAAACCAATTGAAAAGTCTTCGTCCCTAAGTTCTGGTAAACTCGTAAAGATATTTGTGGACTGGACTGACCAAGAAAACGAAGTATATGATGCTAGCTATCTCATGGATCTACCTGAGGTATACAAGAATGTGTTCACAGCGAAGAAAACTAGGCAAGAAGCTATTTCCTTATTTACATGCTTGGAGGCATTTTTGAAGGAAGAACCTCTAGGTCCCGATGATATGTGGTATTGTACTTATACCCATTCTAATGGTTTCTGTATGGCATTATTTACGATTTTCAGGCAAGTAGGTATCATTCTTGACATATGTTCTTGACTTTTGCAATACAGGTACTGCCCTAAGTGCAAGGAACATAGACAAGCTACAAAGAAACTAGATTTGTGGATGTTGCCAGAGGTTCTTGTTTTTCACCTGAAACGGTTCTCATACAGCAGATACTCGAAGAATAAACTTGATACTCTGGTGACTTTTCCAATTCATAATCTTAATTTGAGTCAATATGTGAAAAGCAAGGATGGAAAAGCTCATCTGTATGAGCTATACGCCATTAGCAACCATTACGGCGGTCTAGGTGGTGGGCACTATACTGCATATGCAAAGGTAAGACAACTCTAGCGCATCTGACCATTTTTTATTTGAACGGTTTTTACACCGCATATCGGCCAAGTATTCACATTCTTCACTAGTTTTATCTTCTACCAAAAAAGTTCTCTAATCTATCGTGCACCATGCTTCTTTCAAACTATAAATTTGGCATATGCCGTTAAGACAAAATGGTTATCTGTTTGAGATCTAAGGTACTTTTACTCTCTCAATTTTGCAGTTGATTGATGAGAACAGATGGTACCATTTTGATGACAGTCATGTATCTCCAGTCAATGAAACTGATATCAAGACTTCGGCCGCCTATGTGTTATTTTATCGGAGAGTTAAAAGTGGACAGAACACCGGAGAGGCGGAGTCATCCGGGACTCATATGGAATCTTGAGTGCGGATCTAGTGCATCTTGCTATATTGCAGAGTTTTGAAGCTTCCCACCAAGTTAAGCCGACTTGGTGCAAGAATGGTTGAACATACAGATTGCACGACACGACACTGGGCGTGGACCAGAGCCTATTACAAGGGGACGGAGCTGCATGACATGGCTGTTGGCACTAAGAACTCCATCTCGTACAATATTTTTTTAAGAAAAATAGCCATTAACTTGTTGGGAAGGGTAGCAAATTATTTTCAGAACTTCCGTAAGATGTTCTTGTTATAACGTCTGCCATGATAGGGCAGTGTAATTGTAGACAGAAATTTTTTTGTACTGGAACACTTGTGTAATACGCTGAACGAAAGTTGAAAGAGCCTCGTGTTTTACTTATTCGTTGCACTCTCGATGCCCCTTGGACGTTGGCCCTTATTCCACTTTTCCCCCTCTATACTTTCAATCGATGCCTTGTCCCCCAGACGTCATTTTTGTCACGATTCTTGGTTAATTTCATGACATACACTGCACAAGTGCATATGCAAGATAACGATAGGGTGAATTCTTAGGGGTGCCAGTTTGATAATCATTTCGATTTCATTTCTTTTTTTTAGTACATCGATATTTTTACATTAAGGGGAGGGAGAGTTCAGCAAAGTCACATAATGAGCAGCCTAATTTGGTAACGAATTTGTCATCCACGAGATTCGAACTAAGACCTCTCACTTCCAAGTGAAGAGGAATACCACCAGACTGTAGTACTGAGTGACTTCGATTTCAGTTCTTGTTTTCACTGTTTTACTACTTTCTTGGGACCGTTTGATTCTATTTCATTTTCCGTTTATATATTTGAAAACCAAAATTTTGTTTGGTAAATTTTTCCATTTAAAAAAAAAATAATAACTGAGAACTACTTTCTTGAGTTTTCAAAATTTGACGTTGAATTTTCACCTTTTGGTTTTCAACTTTTATTTTAAAAAATAAAAAATAAACACTAAGAGTATTTAAGTTTACAGTTTTCAAAAAAATTAAAAACTAAAATATAAAAACGAGATAATCTAAAGTTTTCACTAGACCTGTAAACGGGTCGGGTTTATTGGGTTTGGGTCGGGTTGAACCCGACCCGTTAAGTTAACGGGTCACCCGAACCCAACCCGTTAAGCTAACGGGTCACCCGAACCCGACCCGTTTCATCCGTTAACACCCGTTAACAATTATTATTATTTTTTTTTATGCATAAAGTTTATTTTTTGTTATTAAGACTTTACTAAAATTACTAAAATATCCTCAACTAACGGGTGCTAACGGGTGTTAACGGGTCCTAACGGGTTGACCCAAAGTGACCCGTTATTGAACGGGTTGTTAACGGGTTCACCCGTTAGCGACCCGACCCGTTAAGCATCCACCCAAATACAAATATTAACGGGTTGGGTCGGGTCGGGTTAACGGATTGGGTCCAAAATGCCAGGCCTAGTTTTCACCTATGTTGCAATTGCCTCTGGCTTACAAATTTTTCCTTTTATTCTGTTAACTTTATTTAGCTGGAGGTATCTTTTCTTGTGGTTATTTTATCTCAAAGTATCGAAGTGGATTGTTTTTGTTTTTTCAATAAAGAAATTACTTAAAGTGAGAAACCTCACGAACAACCGCTGCCAGTCTACCTATACAATCAAACATAAGAGCAGGTATAGCCCTCGAAGGAAGGGTACAATTCTAAATATGCATATTAGAAAGGGATCAACCTACATTAGTCACAACATCAATCACAAAATTTACTTATCGATAAATATGCTTTCAAGTCACGCAATAAAAGAAGGATGCCAACTAATGAATGTCCGCAATCGTGTCTCGAATTCTCCAAAGGTCCAAAGGACACCACACCTTCCTTCCACATTATCTGTAACTAGCTTAGAGTCTCCCTCCACTGAAATTTTGGAAAAACTCCTCTACTTTGCAAGCTTAAGAGCATCTAAAAGCACTTCAGCCACCATTATAGTACCGTCCTTGTGGCCGTTAGTCCAAGTAAAAAGACCCTAGAAGCCGGAAGAGAGACTTAAGTTACCATTGGGAAGAAAACTAGCAAAATTGTCCTTATAAATTGTGTTTTTGTCTATCCCTTTTCCATTTAATATCCAAATGGATTATGAACCGTCAGATCATATGTTTTATTTTTTTCTTTTCTTATATTTTTTTTACTGCAAGAATATAGAATAGATGAGGTAAAATACAGTCCACACAGTAAAAAAAAAAAAAACTCCACGTACATCAGAAAGGTGATATGATTTACTGCAACAAATACAAAAGTGGGGTCCCCTCCCCTCTAGCCTCTGCCTTCTAAAACGATCCTAATCACCATCCCTCCCTAATCCACTAGAATTCTTAAGACACTGAATGTATATAAATAATAATTGTCCTGCAAAAGCCGAAAAGAGAGAAAAGTTAGGAAAAGACTTATTAAATAAGGTTTGGTACCAATTGAGTGCCACTTCGCCAACTAAAAAGATTAAAAGCCACCCACCACCATCATCACCGCATCATCACCTTCACTAAGTGAGCCCCACACTACCTCAAATAATCAAGACCTATTTGATGACCAGCAAGTAAATCTCACCTAATTGCATTCAAGGGTGTAGGGATCATTGGGAATTTTGCGTTACAAACGAATTTTATGAGCTACGCTAGCATCAATCGCTCGTCAACAAGTGCCAATTCTTGATCGTTAGTGTGCACGTAGAGTTTACAATGCATTAAGAGTTAGGAATCACTAATTTGTGTTGCAATCAAATTTGAAGTAGTACATTATAGTTAATCACTCATCATAAGTTTGAACGGTTTCTAACTGCGGATGCATATGAGGCTCACAATACAAGCCGTGGATGTGAAAGTGGTAATTACCAATGATGATGACAGTGGAGTAGAGTCATTAGCAAAAGGGTGAGTTAGTTTTACCTTTTTCCTAATTCCCAAGTAACCTCTTCTATTTTCTTTTCTTTTTTCTCTTTTCCACCGTCCATTTGAGCAACTTTAGATATTTTGCTCTCAGCTTTTGTCCAACCTCAAAGGACGTGTTTCATCACCAACGAGACCACTAGCCACGTCATCGGAATCCCACCAATTACATCCCATCTCTTCTGAAAACCAAAAATTCGAAATATTAAAAAAAAAAAAACTAATGAAAAAAGTTTTGAGTATTAACAATAAAGACAGGTAATGTGAATAATACTTTTTAGTGCAAAAATATAATTTTTCATTAGATTGAACAGTATCAAGAGCTTTTCATTAAAGTTCCCTATTAAAAAACATAACTCCGTTTTTATAACATGCCGGACGACGTCGTATTCACCGCCACGTCGCTATTAAATTGGCCTCAATCAAATTCAACGAGACCACCGTCCCCGGTAATTATAAAATCACTCCTACATCTTATCAACGAATGAACGACCACTAACGAATCGACACCTGTCCAGTTTACAACTATGACATTCTTCACAGTAAAAGGTGAAGTTGAAGGAACTTACCATGGCCGGGGCGGAGGAAATGGACAAGTATGGCGTGCCGGAAGAATCTGACGGTGACCCACCGTTACTAATCGGATTCACCTGTCCCTGGCCCGAACTCGAACCCGAACCCGAACTGGAACTGGAACTGGAGTTACCAAGGGATATGTTGCCCGCCGCGAGCTCGATTGGGTACGCGGGCGACCCGTCAGGTTTAAAAAGCCCGAAGTTCCTCTCTGAACTCGGGCCGGGTTTCATGTTCTCGTTGAATAGAGCGAAGACGTAGATGTTGAGATCCGACCCGGGCCTGAGCGGAGTTCCCTTCTTCTGGCAAATGAGCTTGATCAGATTCCCGTTGTACTTCTTCGCGTTCTCCGGCGTCGCTCCGGCCTCGTCCTCATCTCCCTTCGACGGCCACCCGGTCTCGGAGATGTGGACCGGGAGCTTCTTGAAACCGAGGGAGCCCAGGGCGGAGTACACGGCGTCGATCTGGGCGAAGAGCATGTTGTCGTAGCGGAGATTGGTGGCGGGATCAACGGAGCCGGAGTTCGGCTGGAAGAGGACATAGTCGAGCTGCACCTGCTTAGGGTTCGACTTGTAGGCGAAGTAAGGGTAGGCGTTGATCAGGAACGGCGATCCGGTTTTGGCGTGGAAATTGAGGATCGGAGTGATGCAGCTAGTCAGATCTCGGCGGAAAGCGCCGGCGGAGGGCGGAAACGAGGTCTCCAGAATGGAGAGGGAGTGGGCGGTGGTGACGGCGACTTGCTTGTCGAGGCCTAGACCAACGAGGGCGGTGTGGACGCTCTGCATTGCCGGAAGGAGGTTGTTGTTCAACGACGTGTCGTTGAGGGTGAGGACCTCGTTGCCGACGAAGATGCTTGTGATGTTGGTGGCGGGGAGGTGGGCCTGGACGTTGGACTTTACCCAGGATTGGGCCTGGGCCGGGTCCTGGACCTTGGAGAGGTAGCCGTTGGGGAGGCCCACTATGAACTCGACGCCGGTGTTGGCGAAGGCTTTGAGGACCTTGGGATCGGCGTCGTAAAGCTTGATCTTGGAGATGCCGATGGACTTCACCAGCGGAACGACGTCGTCCGGTAACGGTAAATTGTTGGCGATTTGGCCGTAGTTTATTCCCATTGAATTTACCGTTTCTGGAAAGATGAACCCTTTAAAAAAAAAAAAACAAAAACAGAGATAAAATGTTGTAAATTAGCTGACCAGAATTCAAAATTTTTAAAAAAGATTGGAACTTTGGAAGTAAATGGGAAAATTGGGAGCTGGGTTTACCTGAAATGATGAGAACTGACAGGAAAATTGCAGAGGGGTAGGGGAAGCTGGTGGTGGCCGCCATTTTTGGAGTACACTGCACAGCTTGGAGACTGAAAAGGGAAGAATGTAGCAGCTGCAGCAGCTCCAAATTGGGCAACAATGAGTAGAGAGAGAGAGAGAGAGAGAGAGAGAGAGAGAGAGGGAGGGAGAGGGGCAGCAGTGAGGGGAGAGAGAGAGGAGTGATATATAGAGCTGTGAGCTTTCACTCTCAGACACTCACTCTCGGAAATTCAGAAAAGAGCTGGGTACTGAATGGGCACAATGTCCAATGTAGACACGCAACTGTGAAGTTGAGAGAGAGAGAGAGAGAGAGAGAGAGAGAGAGAGAGAGAGATTAGGTTTCAGTTGGTAGAGGGTTAGATATTTAGACCATCTCTAACTGAACAAGGTTAGGCCATCTTCAACCGAGGGCTGGCCAGAAGGTTCGTTATAGCCCTCTGACTATCCAAGATATTGATATTTAATGAACAGTACATAGCTATATTTGCATCCGTCTCCAACCGAGGGTCAAATGGCCATAGAGCTCGTTTTAGCCCTGTCACAAAAAACTATCTCCAATCGAGGGTCGAAGGGTCATAGGGCCAAACATAATTTATTATTTAAAAACTACCACTTAAATTCAAATTGATGTCAGCATGACGTCAACTAGCTGTTGGTAGCTGACATCATGCTGACGTCAGCTAGCCGTTGGATTTGAATTTTTTTTTTTGGCTATAAATAGGGTGGATATTGGGCTATAATTCACACAACTTTGATTTCAATTTATTTCAATTCAAGTTTGCAATGAATTCCAACTTTTGATCCTCTTCGGATTCCAACTGGGGGTCCTCATCCAATTCCAAATTGGAAGAAAAATGAGCGCAAATGAAACGAGAAGATGAAGAGTCTAATGAAGAAGTTCAAGTAAGGCGCAACAAACAAAACAGAGCAGCAGCCATTGCTGCGACCATGGTGTGTCAACCAGCTAAGGAACAACCTCAATGGGGTGGCTCCGTTGCTGGTCGCTTTTACATACCACGAAACAGAGCGATGACATATGCCAATCTGATGAACAACTACTTCAACCCGAACTCGGTGAACACATAAGATAATTTTAGACGGGTCATTAGACTGCATGCATTGGGATTGGAAGAACTGTCCCATTGGATGACAATGAGGCTTTAGTGGAAGGTCAAGAAAACCAATTGTTGTGCTAGAGGCGGTTACCTCATATGACACATGGATCTGACATGCTTTCTTTGGAGTCCCTGGATCCCCCAATGACATTACAGTTCTTGGGCATTCACCCCTCTTCAATCGCCTGATGGAAGGTAAAGCACCTCAAATTGACTACTACATCAACGACCATTAATACAATATGGGGTATTACTTGGCAGATGACATCTACCCAAAGTGGGCGACACATGTCCAAGCAATTCCAAACCCTAGGAATGACGCGGAAAAGTTGTTTACCTTACACCAAGAGGCATACCGGAAAGATGTTGAGAGAGCTTTCAGTATTCTACAAGCACGGTGGAAAATCATTAGCGAACCGGCAAGAAGGTGGAGTCGAGAAAATTTGGACTCCATCATGATGTCTGGCATCATATTACACAATATGATAGTGGAGGATAAGCGAGATGGGTATATTGATGGAGAGTTCGATGACGACCAAGAAGATCCAAATAGATCAAGAAGGGCTCGTGCAAAAATATATGATGGGCCTAATTTGCCTTTCAATCCAAGAACTGGTAGTATCTCTATAAATGAGTACATGAGGTGCTATAGAATGATACGTTCTCGTGCCACAAACAAGTACCTATAACAGGATCTTGTTACACATCTTTGGGTCAAAAGAAGCATGGAGTAGGCATTTAAGTTTTATTTTGTTAAATGTTTTTAAAAATGTTGTTTAGGCGTTTAAGTTTTATTTTGTTAAATGTTTTTAAAAATGTTGTTTAAGTTTCATGTTTTTTATGTTATATAATTTTTATGTTGGTTAATGTTATTTAATGTTGTTTCATATTGTTTAATGTTGTTTCATGTTACTTAATTTAATTTAATGTTGCATAATGACTTAGGAAGTTATAGGAAAAAATGGAATTTATAAAAAATATGAAACAAATTTTGTAAAATAGAAGTTTGTAGACATTGAAATTTCGTTGAAATAAATGTTAGCCATCACATTAAAATTACATTTGTAAACATTGAAATTTTAGTGAAATAAATGTTGACCATTGCATTAAAACTACAACCTTCACCCAAATTCACCTACAACATACACCCAAATTCACCTACAACAATCCATCCAAATTCACCTACAACCTTCACCCAAATTCACCTACAACATACACCCAAATTCACCTACAACAATCCTACCCAAATTCACCTACAACAATCCATCCAAATTCACCTACAACCTCCATCCAAATTCACCTACCCAAATTCACCTACAACATACACCCAAATTCACCTACAACAATCCACCCAAGTTTCACCTACAACACCCACCAAAATTCACCTACAACATCCACCAAAACAAATGGATGGTGGTGATTCATTCCCAAAGCCTATAAATAGGCTCCTCCATCAAAGAATCAGGGGAGGATTTTTTTTACATACACTTTCTCTACTCCCAAATTGGAAGAGAAGTCACACCACACCAAAGCCTTGAAGCCTCGAAACTTAGAAGCTCTCAAGCGAATCCCGAAGGATCAAGAAAGCCCTCTTCGTTCTTCGTGAAATCCTCCTTCAAGATCAAGCCCCAACGCCCCTTGAAGAACTTCCACCCATTCAAGATCAAGCCCCGACGGCCCTTGAAGAAGGTGTTCATCGTTCATCATCTGTTCGTCCAAGATCAAGCCTCGACGGCCCCTGGATCAACAACACTACATCTACACGTTTCAAAGATAGAATCAGAGGCCAAATTCGTAGAAGAGATTGTAACCCCTAAATCATTAATACAAATATTATTTTGTACACGTGTTCTTGTCTCATTCATTGCAGGAATTCCGTGTTTACAAATTTGGCACGCCCGGTGGGACTAGTCTCTACCTCTCATCTCTATCTTTGAATCCGCAACAAGCACAAATGGCGTCAAGGAAGGCCCAAGTTGTTCTCGCTGCCAATGCAAGAAACAAGAGCGTCATCACGGCAGGGGGCATCACTTCAGGCATCATAACTCGAAGCAAGGCAAAAGCTCTTTCCGCCGCCTCTTTCGCCCCTTCGTCAACTCCGCCGAAGGCACAAGAGCACCCGAGGTTCGAACCGGTGATCACCCTGGCCTCGCTCAGGGCGCCAAGAGAGGAAAGCCAGAGGAAGTACTCTGATCCTTACTTTCCGATGCCGACTCAAGCAGCGGCATAGCTATGCAAGTCATGGTTACTGGAACAACTTCAATTGAGGAGCAACTGGCTCAGATGAATGAAGCAATCGCAAAGCTCACAAGGACTGTGGAGGAAAAAGACCTGCAAATCGCAGCACTCGTTAACCAGCTAGATGCAAAGCCCGATGAGAAAGTCAGGCAAGGGGATAATCCAGTAAAGAAGGAAAACGACGAGGATGAGGAACCTCCATTGGAGAACGTCGAAGAGACGCTGAAGCCAGACCAAGCGGCGACACTCATGGGGTCTCTCTCTATCCAGCAGCTGCAGGAGATGATCGCCAACACCATCAAGACGCAGTATGAAGGAAGCTCACATGATTCCGTACTATACTCAAAGCCCTACTCCAAAAAGATTGACGCTTTGAAGATGCCGAGGGGTTATCAACCACCAAAGTTTATGCAGTTCGATGGAAAGGGGAACCCGAAGCAACATATCGCCCACTTCATTGAAACCTGTAGCAATGCTGGAACAGAGGGAGACTACCTCGTCAAGCAGTTTGTGCGCTCGCTGAAAAGCAACGCCTTTGACTGGTACACCGACCTCGAGCCTGAGTCTATCAACAGTTGGGATCAGCTGGAAAAGGAATTCCTCAACCGCTTCTACAGCACGCGCCGCACCGTAAGCATGCTGGAGCTGACCAGTACGAAACAGTGGAAGGAGGAACCCGTTGTCGACTACATAAATAGATGGCGTTCATTAAGTCTGGATTGCAAAGATCGGCTCTCTGAAACCTCTGCCATTGAGATGTGTGTTCAAGGCATGCACTGGGGGTTACATTACATTCTCCAAGGCATAAAACCAAGAACGTTTGAGGAGCTGGCAACGCGTTCCCACGACATGGAGCTGAGTATCGCCAATCACGGAAAGAATGAGCCGATCACCCACTTCAAGAAGGATAAGGTGTTCGCCCCGAGTGTGGACAAGGCCGGAAAAAAGCCTGCCAAGGAAACTTTTACTGTCAACACTACCCCCATCAAAACCCCATCCATGCCTATTAAAACCCCATCCGCGCCTGTCAAGATTTCCTCCAAGACTAAGGCAAAGGAGACAAAGAGAAGTGAGCCTCCTCGCACCCAAGACAAGTATAAAACACCTTGAGAGAGTTGGAGCAAAAGACGTACCCTTTTCCTGACTCAGACGTGGATGCAATGTTAGATGACTTGCTGGAAAAGAAGGTAATTGAGTTACCAGAGTGCAAGCGCCCTGAAGAAATGAATCGAACGAACGATCCTAGATACTGCAAATACCATCGTATCGTAAGCCATCATGTGGGCAAATGCTTCGTCCTTAAAGAACTCATCATGAAGCTAGCGCAACAAGGGAGAATCGAACTAGACCTTGAGGACACAGCCGCAACACATACTACTACAGTGGCGTTCGGATCTTTCGATCCTGTGCCTCTCCAAACAACACCCGACCATTCCTATCAATGTGCAAGCTACACGGCGCCTTCTACACAACCATCGCCGGGGGCAAACGAACAAGATGCGTATACCGATGATGATGAAGGATGGACATTGGTGACCTACAAAAAAACAAGGAAACCAAAACCACAAGCCACAAGACCAAAGGTGGAACAAGTGAGAAAACACCGTCGCCGCAACAGTAGGAAGCCTAAAAGAAACGTAAAAGTCGATAAGCCAACGTATGCTGGGGAACCCGTGGAGCAAGAGCCACGCATTCCTGTCTCCTTGCGCGAGTACTTCCCGAATGACTTCTTCCAACAGTGCACTATCGCTGCATGCCATATGGTCGAAGTAGAAACGGAAGAACCTTCAAAAAGCAAAGATACCACCACTGAGGGAGAAAAACTCTCACGCTCGAAGAAGGTCTGCCAACACACTTTAGCATTGAGGAAGCGCTACGATTACCAAAGAAGATGCGAATAGCATTAGCAGCGGC